AAATTATTTAATGTTTAACGAGGAATATGAGACTTAGTTGAAAGATATACTTGCCTGAATCACCTTTTATAACTTGGAAGTAAAGTGGCATATAAAAAACATAACTGAAGAATACCATTCCTTGGAAAAAGCATGTGAGAAAACATGAGACTATATTAAGATTTGTAAACAAACGTGCTATTAAACATAAAAAACAATTCTTAGCAACAATATTATAATAGATTAATTAATATAATTGTTGCAAATAAATCAAGTCATGAATACTTACATGGAGCAACGGGTTCAGTAACGATATAATGCTCAACAAGACCGAATATTATGTAACCGAGTGCGCCGACACATAAAAGTATTATAATCACGGGACTATTCCAAGGATAAGTACTGCCACCCCAATTAAGAGATAATAAGATACAAACAGTTGATGAGACCATTAAAATAATGCCAATAATATCAACTCTTTTAATTTTATCAAACAACGAACCGGGTGGTTTTGGTAAATGAAGAAACCTAACCACAGCGATTATCGTTATTGTACCTAAAGGAAGATTAATGAAAAAACACCATCTATTTTTATGGGAAAATAAATTTGGTGATGAGTTTTACGATTGACATAAAACGATAATAATATTATTAAAGTTTTTTGCACCAAATAAGATAACCCCCTTGACATGCGTACCTCCAACTGACATGATCAGTAAAAGCACCACCCAAGAGTGGGCCTGCAACGGAAGCAATACCATAGCATGCACTAATAGTGCCTTGGTATTTTCCCTGATCTTTAGAGCTAACAATATCTGTAATTATAATTAAGACGAGACTAAAAAAAAGAAAAATAAACAATAAAAAAATTAGCGTGCATAAAAATTTGATATAAATGATACAGCATGAACTACGTACCCAATTATACCATCACCTCCGATACCAGCGATTGCACGGAATATTATCAATGAAACCTAAAAAAGTGGTGAATATTAAGAATTGAGAGAATGAAAATAAAAGATAAACTATATTACCATATTGGTAGCAACACCACATAACAAACTGCCTAATTCAAAGATGGTAATTGCAACTAAGAATGTTACTTTACGACCAAAAATATCAGATAATTTTCCATAGATTGATTGAAAGGAGGTCTGTATCGAAAAATGATTCACGTGAGTATCACATTATATATAATTCGAACGAAGTAGAATCAATGTATAATATTATTACCGCTGTGAGTAGATAAGAAGTTGAAACCCATGCGATTTGGTCTAATCCATTAAAATCTGAAACTATTTTAGGTAAAGCAGTGGAAACAATCGTTTCATCTAAGGTAGCTAAAAATATAGCACATCCTAGACTATAATATGGTAAATAAAACTAAATTAATAATTTGATCATACAATTAGAGAATAGGAAATTAATTTCTACGAACCCAAAAACAACTAAATATAAATCAATTCCGTGTAATAAAGTACCATTAGACAATGGCGAGCTTTTGTCTTTAACAATCTGATCATTGCCATTTTTTATAGTTTTTATAGTTATAGTCGCATCTGATACTAACGTTGCTTGACGTTCAAGGTCTATTTTATTATTTGATGTGGATTGGTTTTGTGTCATTCCTTTGTAATTGCTTGTTATTATTTAAAATACTGTGTGTGCTTTGTATACTTTGTACAGTTGAATGCTATGCTATAATATTAAATTATTTTTAATAGTAATTTTTTTGTAGAAATTAAACTGGTAAATTTAATTTACAAGGATTTAAGTGGAAAAAAAGAATCTATAAGACAATTACTCAGACAGCTAAAAAATCCCGACAATTAAAAATTCTGGATTCATAAACCATAGCTAAACCTAGCCTAGCCCTTATTTAAAGTAACCTAACCTTAAAGTAAATTAAATTGTATCTATTTCACTTTAAACATACCCCATATTTTGGATTTTTTACTTGAAAATTCTGATTGTCGGGACTATCGGGATTTTTTGTCGGGATTATGATCTGTCGGGATTGTGTTTATCGGGATTTTGACTGGCACCCGATAAAAAAGTATAATGAGACTTTGATATAATGCATGGATAAATTATATTTATGAATGACGTTTCTATAGATATTTGTTTTTTTTCACGCAAAACACAGTTGGTTCGTGTTAAATGTTTCCATAGAATTAAAGTTTAATTTTTATCGATAAATTTGTTGTTCCAATATTGTATTGTAATGAATATATCGCCAAGACTACAATACTAAAAAGAAAAGTTGATTAAAATACTTTTGGAATGATTGGCATTTGCAGTTTTATTAATCGAGCATTTATAAGGTAACAGTTATTTGAACAGGTTTATTCTGTGCTCCTTGATTAGAATCGAGAATTTTATACAATCTATTATTGTATTGTAATTTAATAATGATGAGATTCAACTAAGGATGGGCAGATCGAGCATTTTTTGAATCCACTGCGCAGGCTGCAAACTGGAGCTTTATGCAAGCAGATAGATTAGTCATGCCATAAAATTGGCAGTGACGTGATCGACAAGCCACTTAGACTATATTTCTGTATTCGGGCTATTAATTTTAATTCAGGATCAAAAGTTTCAAGCCACTCAGACTACTGTATATTCCTATCCGATTATTAATTTTGTACTTATAATTTGGGATACAAAAAAGTTTTTATAACATTTAGATTCCGAATATAAGTATAAATTTAATAAACTAAATATAGGAATATAGCCTGAATGACTTGTAGACACGTCACTGCTCATGAATTTTTGATGGTAAGTTCCAAATGCTTGCAACCATTATCAGAAATGATAAAAGGAATTAATTCGGTTGTATATATGGGTTGAGTCAATAGAAACCAAGCAAATATTTTTTAATAAGTTTTTTTAAAACTTTAAACAAGGATAACTTAACAAAAATTTAATCAAATTTAGTAAAATTTTTTTAAAATTAATTTTACTAATTTGTAAAAATTATTTAAAAAGTTTTTTATTAAATTTGATCAAGTTTTTGTTAATTATTTTTGTTTAATGTTATAAAAAATTTGCTTGATTTCTATTGATCCACCACATATATATTTTTTTTATGTGTTGTATAGAAATCCTTTAAATAATTGAAAGTACACGAATAATAATTACTAACTATACAATTTAGCATTGTTATTAGAGAAGCTTTTAGGACATGATAAGAAATTTATATACATGCACGATTTATTAGAATAATAGTTGCGTAATATAAAATAGTATAATGTAAGATGTTAGAGAATTAGATGTCGAATTAACTTATAGATGTGCAATGCGCATGACATGCGCATGATCATGCGCATAATCATGCATGATGCGCATGAAATTATAGAATCATGCGCATGATTTTTATATATACTTTTAATGCCGCCGATGTGTGAAAAGTCTCTAAACAGAACCCTAAACGGGATTTTTTTCTATCTCTGCTGATATTTAATTCTATTTATTTTTATAAAAGATGGGGAAAAGTCTCTAAACAACCCCTTTTTGATACATACAATTTACGAAAATATTGCAATGATTACTAATTACTTTACAAAATCTGATAGTTTCGAGATATGCAATTATTTGCAAATAATAAGCAATATATAGTGCATTATCCGGCAAACACTTATGATCATAGATTTATTTTTTTTTGTTATTTTTTGGGATGTTCTGTCGTAATCATGTTTATTCGAATTAAAACTCAGTTAGCAAATCACGACTTGAGAATCATGACCATGAATTGCCGGATAACACAAATATTGAGTCATGCGTTGATAAATTGTCTAATTGTGTAAATGATTGGCTGACATGTGCCGCTGCGCGGCACTGTCAGCCAATCATTTGCTCAATTGGACAAATTTTGCGATATTCATCGATGCATGATCAATATTATATACGTATTAGCATTTTATTAGCATAATAATGGAAGAATATATTTATAAATTAAAATATAGTAATAAAATGCTAATAAAGTGCTTATATTTGCAAAATTTTGTATTTTAATAGTACATCATCAGCACCATTAAATTGCTTATTTTTAGCAAGTTCAAATTTGACAGATTTTGTAAAGCATAAATGTTATTGGTGATTAAAAGGGGGAATTGACACAAGAATTAAAATAATTACGGATGAGGGCCCAAAATAAAAATTCTTACATATAGCGGCCCAAAATCAAAAATCATTACAAATAAGGGCTGTCCGACCTCCAGCTATATTAGACGACTAAACCACAAGACTTACATAGCGTCGCCAGAAATAATGTAGCCAGATTTTTGCTGGCTTATATATGACTTCGAAAACTGATTGCTGGTTATGTTTATTATGCTTAATAAACATTATAACTTTGATTTTTATTTTATCTTTGTTTTGATTTTCACTTGGTCTTCGCTTTAACTTCATTTTGTTTTATTTTGATTTTGCTTTGGCTTTGGCTTTCACTTTAATTTTCGTTTTGACTTAGATTTTCGCTTTGATCTCCTTTACTTTGACTTTCCGTTAACTCTCATTTTGGTTTCACTATGACTTTCGCTTTGACTTTCATTTTGACTTTCACTTTTATTTCAAGAATTTTTGCCATGTTGAATTCACAAAAATATTATTTTGATCAATCATTTACATAAGCTATTTAAGTTCATGAAAATTTTAACTTTGCTTTTTGTTTATTAATGTTAATTTAGCTAGTAAATACTAAGGATTTTAATATTCAAAATAATTATAGCATAACTTTTTATTCGTGTTATTTAGTTATGTATAAAAATCTTTTTTAATTAATTAATGCGTTAAAATTCATAAAGTCATAAGTTTGTTAGCGAGATTCGTGAATAGTACCTTTAGCATTATCGTGTAAAAAAATAGATTGCAACTTAAAGCTATTTTAGTGTATTGTATAATTATTTTAATCCGGCTACCATTTTCTCTGGACGATGTTATGTAAATCTTGTGGCTTAGTCGCCTAGCATAGCTCAGAGGTCGGACAGGCCCTTATTTGTTATGATTTTTGATTTTGGGCCGCTATATGTAAGAATTTTTATTCTGGGCTCTCATCTGTAATTATTTTCATTTTTGGGCCTTTATGTGTAAATTCCCCTTAAAAAAAAACAGGACCTGTTTAAAACTTCTCACCCACCTGTTATATGAATATATATATATGGGGTTTTTTCCTTGAAAATCACCTTCCGACATTTCGGATCGGGTTAATTCAGACAAAAATAAACCCGAGCACCGGTTCGCGTTTATATGTTAATCATCTTTTACCTTTATTGATTCAATAGTTATTCGATAGACTATTGAATCAATAAAGTTAAAAGATGATTAACATATAAACACGAACCGGTACTCGGGTTTATTTTTGTCCGAATTAACCCGATCAGAAATGTCGGAGGGTGATTTTCAAGGCAAAATCCCCATATATCTTAATGCTAAGAAGCAAGCCGAAATTTTTAATAGATCCAAAATATTCCGAAAAATTCCCATGCGCATCATGCACATAAAAAAATTTACGATGTTTGTTGGCTGATCAACATGTGATACTTTTCACATGACAAAAATTTAAATTTCTCATTTTTGGGACGGTCTCTCCTAGTGATGTGCCACGTACAGTACTGTACGTACTTTTGTCCCTCATCGAGGAGGTTGTAAAGCAATGAATTACAATAAATACAATGAAATAAAGTTTCGGGTATTCTGCCCCTGCTCCTTCGTGCAAATAGTCCCACCATAATACAGAATTCGAAAGTATCGATAATGCGCCATAAGCTCCTTGACTGTAAGCTAATTTCTCAACTGTCGTATTTCGAAGGTTTGTTCTCTTTTTCATTCATATGCTCCAATTACTAACCATACCTACCCGAGTGTAATACCACATACAATTTTGTGACTATGTACTAAAACTCGGATTGACTGTCGTCTGACAGGCCAAACCCAACATAAATAAACAATGAAATCTTTGTGACTGTTGTCCCAACAGGCCACTACTAAAAAACTCAAGATTTGACTGTCGTCCGACAGGCCAAATCCAAACGTAGATTGACAAAAAGCAATAAATCTTAGTGACTGTCGTCCCGACAGGCCACTACTAACCAAACTCAAGATTTAACCGAGCCTAACTTACATAACACAACTATCATTCCTGCAACTGTCGTTCCACAGCTACTCATCAAAAACACCACCGATTTCAAATAACATGTCACAAAAGTTCGTTAGGCCACCCTACAAAGGGTGGGAAAGGGCGGGACGAAAAAACCAAACAAAGTCGGGTTAGCAGAAAAAACAGAAATTATCTTGTCTGTGAAAAAAACCCATTCCCTTTAAGTATACCCTAATGATTACAAATCAGAAAACTACATAATTACGTCGTTACTCTAATAAACCCTAACGACGTAATTACGTCGCTACCATAACTGACTCTAACAATCACCAGATCGAAAAAATTACGCAATTAATTAAACCATACTCCCACGATTACTAATCAAAAATACTACACAATGCAAATAAAAACTATGTCATTTCTCTACAAACGTTGCATAATAAGCCCCTACTTATCAAGCAATAAATCATAATAACACAATAATCATTCGATCAATTAATTAGACTCCATGTTCAATTTGAGACAAAATTCTGCTCCAATACTATCGTATCGGGCAGCTCATTTTGTCCCTCATCGAGGAGGTTGTAAAGCAATGAATTACAATAAATACAATGAAATAAAGTTTCGGGTCTTTGCAGAGCATCGTCAAAGTTTCACTGCGACTGGGCCTTGATAGAATTTTTTTTTTTTTTTTTTAAAAAACTCATCAATCGTGAAGACCTAATTCTGTAGTACTAATCACCCTTATATACAATTGAGCCGCCTCTGATGACTATCCACCAATAGATTGGATCTGCTCTATTGTCATGCCCCCTTTCATAGCTGCTGTCGCATCTCCAATCCTTAAACTGTGCGCCGAAAACCTTCCCTGCAGCCCCGCATTATCTGCAAACCTTTTAACTATTATGGATATTGCCGCCACTGACAACTTTCCTCCAGTTTTAGACAGAAACAGAGGACTTTCTGGTGGTGTTTCTGGCCTTAACCTTAAATACATCCCCAAGAGTTTAACTAGACAAATCTCACTCGCCGTTTTCTCCATTGGAATAAACTTTCCTTTTTCTAGCTGGTCAGTTTTCAACCTCGCAACCCTAATCCACAACTTATTATCCTTTTCCACGATGTCTGACCGCCTCAAATTGCATAATTCTCCAGGTCTTCTCATAACCCTCAAACCTAAAGCGACCAAGGCTATATCATGAGCCCACATTACCATACTGATCCCTGGCAGTGGATACATAATATAACGCTTAACCACTGCTACTGGTAACAGGTCCCTTGGCCACCTAGCCTTAGTTTTAACAAGAGCTTGAGACCTTTTAATTCCTTCCACAATTAACCGAACCATGCTTCCCTTCGTCGGATCACAGAGGTTCCTTACTTTGTGTTCCCTTGCCATGGCAGATAGACACATAGCAACTTCCGTTGCCCTACTCGAAACCTCCAACCATGCAAGAAAGCCGCTAATAACTTTCCCGAAGCTGGGTATGGTGTAAATCCTGCCCAATTGGCAAAACTCTCAAAGATGTACTGTGATTTTTCCAGAGCTTTTTATATTGAATACTAATCGAATTGTCTATTAAGTACTCCGCCCTATCAAGCAATCTTCCGACCAATCCAGCAACACTGCCGTCAGATGCCACTGACCATTTTTGCAAGGCTCCATATTCCCGGACGGACCTGGCTGAATAATTTGGCCCAGTGCCAGTAAATTGATCTCCTTTCTTGGGGAGTTTATGATCATCAGTCATCAAGAGGCTAACACCCATACCGGAACTATAATGACCACACACACCTTGCATTCTCTTGCATGACACAACGACCTGTGAATTTGTCTGAATGGCGGCACACATAATTCTTTACTCCAGCCCAATCCTGCATAAAGCAATCTACTGCTTCCATTCCCGGGCAAAAATACAGGCTGTTGAATTGTTCGGTCCTTGTATTCAAATAGCTCGCAAACCTGTGATGTCGAATTTTCTCCAATTTTTCTTCAGCAGGTCTATGACCACCGAACTTAGTACCCAGTCCCCAAGATCCGTTACCTTTGTTAGAAGGTCCACCAAGTTTAACCCACTTGGGATCCACCTTGTTCTGAAGATCCCAATATCACCTGCTACACAAACCTCCTAAATTTGCCTCGTGATGTCCTTTTGCCACTAAGTCGGGCCCCCTTCTAATACCGTTTTTAGTGCCACTTTGTTGTCTATAAACAACGTGATCTATGAGTTCTTCAGCATATCCACGAATGACTGCAGTACCCGCAGTACTGCTAGCGCCTCCAGCTGTGCTATGACATTCGACTTATGGGGTTGCAACCAATTCCCTGATGCTTGGTATTCTTGAAAAATTCCACACCAACTGGTCGTTGATACATCAACATAGACCAATTTTATCCATGAGGGCTTCCAGGCTGGGTGTCCATTCCACTTTTGCAAATTTCTTATCAGCCAACAAACATCTTTTATCACTTGGGTTGACAATTGAACCTTGTTGTCCTATTCCCATGCCTCACGGTTTCGCGTATCTATAAGCTTGTAAAACTCCATACATTTCACCTGACTCAGAAGAAAAGCTTTCGACAAACTTACAACTTTGCCCACCACCACTGCCAGGTCTTTCACCGTTACCGTTGGTGTCCTTAGCAACGCCTTCAACTTTTCCATGATTGATACAATCTTTTCCTCTGAAGCTACTACAATTTCTTTTATTGTATCCACAATCATTCCGCAAAAGCATAACTCTTGCGTCGGGTCCCACTTTCCTTTTTCTACAGCCTGGATCCAACCACAACTTTCCAAATCTGACTTTACCACCTCTTCCCTTATTCTCAACAACACCTCCTTGACCGGGTAAGCAACCCAAATATCGTCTAGGTGGCTTTCACAATAAATCCCTTGAGCACGCCACTTGCCAATCAACACCCTCATTAGCATGGAAAAAATCCACAGGGCTTGGCTCAGACCAAAAGGCAGGTCCTTGTAATAGTACCAATTTATTCCCACCACAAAACCCAACAATTTTTGGGCTTCACTGTCCATCAACACGTTGTGGTAATCATCCTTAAGGTTGAAAGAAATCACCTACCAACTCTGACCTATTGTTTGTAACAGTCCTCCTAGTCCTCTGAAACGAAATAACTTCTGTAGCAATGTTTGATTCAGTCTCCTCAGGTCGATCACCAAATGGAACTTCTTGGGACCCTATTTCCGGACCAGAAAGACAGGACTTACCTCTAACAGGTCTGGTGGACACACCTTGCCCTCGTATACTTTTACTATTGCACCCGATCTTTCTAATCTCCTTAACTCGTTCTCTAGCCAATACCTTCTTTCCTCTGTGAAATGATAAGGTTCCAGGACCGGCTTGTTCACCAAATGCATAAGGCCCCTTGGAAACAAAGAAATCACTTTTTCTAACCACAACATGACCAATTGAGATGGCTTTATTTGCTCCTTCCAATATTTCATACACTCCCGGCTGTGGATCCTTCCCGCTACGTAAACTTCCGACTCCACCAATGCTTCCTTTAAAGACTCTCGAGCATAGTCAACTATCCTTCAGTCGGGTGTTATCTCCACGAAAGGGCAACCCGATATGCCTTTTGGAACTGCACTCACTCGCAAAATGCTCCTTACCCTCACATATGTAGCAAACTACTTCACTCCTATATCCTTTGCTCCTATCGAACCTTCTGGACCACTGGAGGGCCGGATGAAAAGATTGCAGCTGCATTGGCAGTGATGAGATGACTCCCAGTACACCTTGTTGCCCTCTTACTTGCACAAACTGTGGGTTCTTTTGCAGGTTTTGCGAAGAAAATGGCCCAAAGCCACCAACTAGACTTTGTATACCCAAGTACTGTGGCTGAAAAACCGTTGGTTGGACATACGACTGCACCTGTCTCGTTTGTGCTGTAGAGATCCCACCTATTTGCAAGGTCGGTATCTGCGGCTGGTGCTGATCCATCTGAGTGTAGTGAGAAATTTTTAGTTTTTTGGGTTTTACAAACCATTGCGGCACTAACCTAGCACTTTCACGTTTACTCCCAAACAACTCCATTATTGGATCCAACCCATCCACATTCGCCATTTTCACAGCAACCTCCCAACCATTCTCATCGGCCACCCTTACAACATAGGCCCTTTCCATAGCGACCTGCCTTGCTATACGAATGTAGTTTACATCGCTCGAGGCTAATGCCTTATCCATTAATGCTTCTGCTCTACACCACTCATTGTATTCACACTGGTTACACTGCTTAGTCAACTTCTGCTTGGTCCAAACACTCCTTCATTCAATGTCATCTATGAGCAGCGGTTTCAATTCTGTTCTGTAACTAAGCAACTTCCTTTCCCACATATAACTTGGTGAAAAATCTTGACCCATTGAGCCTTGTTTGCTGTAGGCATCTAGCGAATTTTCTCCTACAACTGGGCATTGTGCTCTATTACCTGTCCACAAGGCTTCTAGTTCTTCTGACAGTGTATTATCCTGGCTTCTCAAAAGCTGCGGCCAAGCTTTCTTTGCCTTTCCGGTTACACCCGCATCCTCAACAGAGTCCTCTCGGCCCAATCTGTTATGACTTTCCTTTAATAACCTGGATACAATCTCCTGTTTTTGGCCCATTTCCGACAGGCCCATTCCACGACAAACAAATCTTAACACTTCAACTGACAAACGATTAAGGTTCGACTCCAAACTCGTTTGGGTTATATCTGGATTTGCCAAATCATTCAACACAGTAGACTCTGGCTTCTTGTTCACAGCTGATATTGATCTTGGACAAGTAATTTTACTTTTGCGTAAAAAACGTCAAAGCGAATATCACCAAGAAAAAAATTTTGTCTATGATTTAAGTAACGTATTCATTTAATATTAGTGTATAACATTGGTTTCAACTGGTAGCTTATACTCAACGCAACAACCAGATATGCACAAATATTTTATTATTATTATTAAAGAGTTTTTATTTATTTGGTAAACGATACTAACTATGTGTAAAAGAGTTTGAAAAGAAAAGAATATGCAAAGAATTTGTGTACGTAAAAATTTGCACGAAAAAACCAGACAAAGTCAGGTTAGTAGAAAAAACAGAAATTATCTTGTCTGGGAAAAAAAAACCCATTCCCTTTAAGTATACCCTAATAATTACAAATTAGAAAACTACATAATTACGTCATTA